TGAAGCGCTTTGAGACATCTCAAAGATGTGATACGGCGCTGAATCAAATGCAAAGCTTATTATTATTAATAATTGAATCAAGCCCACAAAATACGCAGTCAATCCACTTTACAGTCAATCCACTGTGAAGCTGGCAGTGAGTGTTGTAACACATCAGTCTCAACGATGTGATAAGGCGCCATACCAAATGCAAGTATATTTCAACCCTATACCCTGGTGCCCAATATATAAACTTGCATCCGTACATTGCGTAGCAAAGACAGCAAATCACTTTAACATGAAACGGACCATTTCTCAAAAGGACTTGTTCTGAAAAGCTAACTTTTAAGCAGAATTAGCCAATATCAAGCACAAAAACGGCAGCCTGCCTGAAAGTTTAGACAAATTCAAACCGCTTCCATAGAGATCGCAAGTCAGGAGTTTTAGATCAATTGCTTAACACAGTAAATGCTCCAAACAGCAGGGCATTCCAACACATTCATTCATCCTATAGAGAAGGAAGTTCCCCACGAGCAGAATGCTTCAAATGCTCACTGTGTAGGAGGAATGAAGTAAGTAATTGCACCTTAACCCCTGAAACTAAGACACCAACGAACAAACATTGCTGATCACTCTGTCTCCAGCAACACTCCATAAACACCCTGAAGAGAACACGGCCTTTCTAAGCTTCTCAGATATTGTACAGAAAGGGGAAAATTATACTAGACATAACGGTTTGTAATAAGTTTTCTTTTTCATTAAAATAGCATTGTGCGTGGCCTCTCTCGTGCGATCTCTGTGATATCCTGTGGCTGCCTGCCAAACAAGGGAGTGCAATGTCAAATCAAGTCAAGATTCAGTGACTTTTTTCATTACGGAGTCTACTCAAGCTTTCATGCTTTGACAAAATGCTGGGTTCTCCTGCAAACGGCATTTCCGAAGCACAAAGCTGATCTGATCTCACACCCGACTGCACATAGAACGCTGACCAGCTAGAGTACCTGTACTGCAGAGAGCTGGCAAAGTAGGTGACACGACCTCGTTTCACAATAAACATTGGCGCCATAGTAAACATTCCTCCGTGCAGATCTGCAAACACACCATCCAAAGGAACTTAAACTGACACCAACACAGAGAGAATCAGCCAAGGGTTTATCTTGGCTTTCCTCTAATACCTTAAACCTACTTTCCCCAAATCGCTAGGATTTCCATGTACTCCTTCAGCTTCTGAGAGGACGCTTTAATTACGAGCTCAGTCCATGGTCCAGATGTCCAGAGCAGCTCCCGTCAACCAACTGTAGTGCCTGCCAGCTCACAGCTCAGAGAAACTTTCCTGCAGGTGACCCATATCACCAGGAAGAGGATAGCAACTGCAATTTATAAACTATAATAAGTAACCCTGTAATCTACTGCACTATGCAAGCAAATAGCACAGGCAATGACCAGCTTGGTAAAACCCTGCTAGCTGCTTCCTTGTAACACTGACCAGTCACCTGATGCTCTATCAATGGGACGCCTTGATCACAAGGCGGGTTGTAAGCATCCTCCCACTCGTTCAGGAGAGGAGTGAGGGAGCAATGTTACATTCAATCTTTAAGCATTGCTTAATACAGCATAATACAGCAGCTGGCTCCGAGAACGCTGCAAGTCTCCAGCATCACCTTAGGGTCAGACTGACGTTAATGAAGTGTGAGTGAAGCTCTTGAGGGGGTTTCGGGAAGGTCGTGTGGACGTCCCGACTGAGCCGCAGCCTCGTTCATGCACTCCCAGCTCCCTGTTTCCCTCGGGCAATATCTTCCTTTGTATTGTAAAGTCACAACAGCAGAATGCCTTGCAAACAGATTTCATTGCTGGTTTGTGAGAGCCAAGCCTGTAATAACCGCTAAAACAAAATAAGATTGTCATTCTAAAAGGGCTCCTTACATTTTCTGTCTCCTTTAATTCATGCTCCATTGAATCAGTATGAAACATACCATTCCCCGCATCAGCCAGTCTGGCTTCTGCATGCGATTGCTAAATTCCAGGCAGTTTGGTACTGCTGTGCCGAGACTCACAAAGAAATGGATGAGAACTGCACATAGACCTCTACCGCCAGCAGAGAGGCCAGAGTTTTATCCAGTCTCATAGCTTCACTCGTGGATGTGGAACGATTTCCCACAAGTGACCATTGGAGCCAAGTCAATGCAGCATTTTAAAAGGAAATGACTTAAACATTTGAGAATGAAAATATAATAACTTCCGATCCTTGCATTTGATACAGTGCCTGTCGGGTTGAAATGTCTCAAAGTCATTTACAGGGTAATTGCTGTCCAGTAACTATGTTTGAGGACAAATGCACAGCAACATTCCACAAACAGCTAAGAAGCGAATGATCAATTTATCCAGGGGCAAGGACACCGGGAGAAATTCCCTTCCCTAACTGAATAGTGCCTTTAATATTCACTTGAACAGGCAGACAGGACCCCGGGTTATCTTCTTACCCAAAGAATGGTACTTGCAACAATGCAAAGCTCCTCACTACCACAGAATAATGTCAGCCTAGATTATGAGTTCAAAGTCCTGATGTGGAGCTTGAGCCCACAACTTTCTAACTCAAGAGGCAGAAGTTCTACTAACTGAGCCAGATTGACACTTGATAAAATGTTAAAGATTGCAGGGAAAAAACATGAAAATGAGTCAATAGCTCAAGCTGGGAGCGAGCACAGGACCAACAAAATGGGTGGAGTGGCCTCTTTTGGTGTTATTATACTGAGAAATGGTTTGACCAATTGAGCCATCAGGGGAATGAAGCAGTGTTGTTCAAAGGGAATTTTCATAACAGTAAACACGTATTAAAGAGATATTTGCCCACTAACTGAAGACTCAGTCTTTGTTCCTGTGAGCTGTGATACGGAATCTGAGGATAGAGCTCGCTCCTCACGAGCCGCCAGCAGGGAGTGGATTTTTAACAGTGTTTTCCCCCATTCACGTGAGCGCTCGGGTGAAATGTCATGGCTGGAGAAACTCTGGACAAAATGCCTGCTCCCAACCTAGCCCCGAGCAGCAGCATTAAAGTAGGCAGCAGATAAACAACAAAGACTAAAAGTCACTGGAAAACGTACGGATAGCTTCTGTTACAATCTCTTACACAAGCTGACAACGACTCCATCTGCTTACTAGTCTTACAGAAACATCTTAAGGATTGTTCTCCTTATAGCAGAGAGGGTTAAGGGGAGATATAATAGAGGTGTTCAAAATATGAGGGGCTTTGATAGAGTAAATAAGGAGAAATTGTTTCCAGTGGTGGATAGGGCAGTAACCAGAGAGCTCAGATTTAAGATAATTGGCAAAAGAACCAGAAGAAAGACAAGGAGAAATGTTTTTACTCAGTGAGTTATTACGATCTGGAATGCACTGCCTGAAAGCGTGGTGAATGGAGATTCAATATATAACTTTCAAAAGGGATTTGGATATATATTTCAAAATAAAAAAAATGCAAGGCTATGGGGAAAGAGCAGGAAAGAGATGGGCCGAATAGCCTCCTTATGCGCTGTAGGATTCTATGACGAAGCAAATCCGCATAATTTACTTCAAAAGCCTTTGAACAGTTATGTTGTCTAATCTTACTTGCACATTAGAGACTCCTTAAGTACACAGAGAAGATTGGATGTCCCAGAGCTTACTAAAATCAAACACTGGATGTTGCAGTAGATCAAGCCTGCTGTAATTTGTCCAGTGGACAATGCGAGGGGCAATCCGCGTGCATGGTTTAATGAGAATATTTAATTAAATATTCTGTTCACCGAGGTGTGCGATATTGGTGAATATTGGTGATATTGTGCAAATTTGGCTGGTCAGTTGATACTCATCTCTGGGGTGGGGGGCGGGGGAGGCTCAGAGGGAGTAAAAATCACTGTTGGTCCTTTTGCCGAGGAGCTGAATTTCACCCACTACCACAGTCATCAAGATTGCCAGGTTGCAGTTAATATAAGGTTTCTTCTTCTATCCTGTTCTATCAAACCCCTTCAGATCAGGCATACTCACCCGTTAAAGTGCTCTCTATTCTCTCCCAATAATGGACAATAACCCAAAGAGATGATCCCTGATAAACTACACTTACACTAACTGTTCCAAGTCACAGCCCAGGGGGACATGCCTAGAACCCAAAAGCAACGTTTTTGTGTTTCCCTTCCAGAAACATAACATGTATAGGTTTTGGAGGGAGCGGGTGGGCCAGATAAAATAGGGATGGGGGGATGAAATCAGCCCACGTGGCTGCCAGTTAGACAGCCCTGATCTATATGATCACACTCACATATTCTAGATTCAGCATCAATACTGCCGGGTGGGCTCAATACATTCCCAATGCCAGCATCGAGACAATTAGAAACGTAATTACCAACCCATATGATACCCGCGAACTGCCATCTTTTCTTATCTAGAGTGTAGTGTTCAATTCTACATCCAACAACAAAATTACATTTATGGAGCGCCTTTCACGTCGGGGGGACGTCCCAAAGGGCTGAATATCCATCACAAGGTGTGGTACAAAGAGAAGAATGATATTATAAACAGCCCTTTCTCATTCAACTTACCTTCCCCCTGACCTCCTCAGCTGGACTGGAGGGTCTGGACACATTCAGAGTGGACAATAGCAATAATTACACTGCACAGGACACTGGGAGAAACTCCCTTATCTCTTCAATTTGTGCCATAGAATATTTATTGTCCATGTGCTACTGGAAAAGGATTCACTTTTTACTCCGCATGGACAGAGTTCACTGCTCCTTCCCTTCATATAGCAAGTCGACCACAGGAGGCAGCTTGATTTGAGAAATGGGCAAATTTTTCTGCCTCCAAATTTCCCAGACCCAACTCTTCAATTAAACCTCCTGTTGCCTCCATACACAGGAAATCTGGCATAATAATGTAAACCTGCCGAGTCGGGCTAGAAATCACAATGTCTAGTGATCATCAAATCCCACAGCCTCCACATACACACAGCACAAGGTGTAAAACCAGCAGCACATCGATGCTCTTACCGTTCATTCTCGGTGTTCCTGAGGGATGGCAGGATCTGGCGGAAGCTGGTGTTGCGGTCTAGCTTCGGCTGGCTCTTTGTGCGTTTGATGGAGCCCTTTAGCCGTTTGCTGAAAAAGCCCTAGAGGAAGAAGAGTAATCCATTAGTAAACACAGCCAATGGACAAGGTGTCTATCACAACTGGGCCTTGGTTTGATCCTTCTCCTCATGTACATCACCATGCATGGGAAAATATGCAGCCTCACATACAGGAACAAAAGTTCCGTGGAGATTCTGCAATTACAAATGACTCTTAGCTGCCTTCCTGAGGCCTCAAATTCCAACTAGTCTTAACGAGGACTCGATTTGGAGCTAAATTAGCCCCGGTCTAACCTGGATTAGAGATGGTAAAATCGATACAGGATTCTTTCTCCTGGTTCCTCTTAGCACCATCTACTGTTGTGTATGTGTACGGAAGAGGCCAGGCTCGGCTGTGATACCCTTGACAGTCGAACGACCTGCTGACATTCACTGCCAAGGCCCACAAAATGAACAATGGTCACTTGAGCCTCAGTGCCCCTGGGCTGGGAAGAGAGGTGGTGGGGATCATTCAGTGTACCCTCTCAGGTTGCTATCCAGAAACATCTGCTGAAACAGCGAGTGGAGTGTGTGGGAATCTGATTAGAATGGGATTGATCTGATCTATGCTGACCTCAATGATTGACTCAAAGGGTCACATGAGAGGAATGGTTGTTTGGGTGAGGTGTCAGAGGACAATCGGTACCAACAGGGAAGAAAACTGACAAAATATATTGTATTAATACTTGTGCGCGTGTCTTGTTAAAAATAAAGCGCAGTTTCACCCAGTGGCAATACTGCAGGGGATTGTATACTGAACACAATGGGGAATTGGATTATTTAGTACGAATGAAGATTGGAGCGCAACAAGGTTATTTCACCACCTCCCGCAGTACAAGTCCCCAAAGTGGCTCTCTGCAACGGAGGAGCATTGCTCGATTATAGAAAAACCCGCCATTTTTACAAGAAGCTTTACCCAGATTTGTCCTTCACTTGCATTTCTAGCAGTTGAGCTAAAAACTAGGTCAGTAACAGCAGCTCTCTAGTGGAATTTGAGTGTGTGGTGTAAAGCTATAATGAGACTGATGACAAGTCCAATGTGAACTAGCTCACAGTGAACCTGAGGCACTTTACTGCAATGTCAAAGCTCGAACTCCTACGAGCGACAGTGTGTTAACCAGCCCAGTGTCAGGCGACGACAGTTCTGCAAAACACAGAGGCGACAGGACCAGCAATCCCTAGGCACCACAGAAAAGGTTTGCTTTGTTTCAATCTTTTGCTTCCGCAGTGATTTTCATGAATTCTCCGTCGATATCTCTTGTCAAGACAGTAAAAGCCACAAGTCCAGGGTAGCAGTGCCTACTCCAGGTTAAGGATCATTGGCTTCACTGGAGGAGCAAACACCTCACAACGGATCAATAGCATCGTACTATATTGTCGACTGTCATGGGCAAAGACTGGCATGACTTAAGCTTTGGAATTTCCAGTTACTCATTCCCAAAATGGATTCCTCTTGCCCGTACACACAGAACACTGCAAACAATTGGCAAACACTCCCATCTGGCATCTTTAAGCTTAGATTTCAAAGTCAGGCAATTAATTCCATTAAACATTCACCAATCGCAGGTTCTGAAGCTTTGAACTTTTCTTCACCTTAGTTTTCTCAATGTTCTCGCTCTCCTCTCCTGAAGGCATTGACTGATCCTGACTCACGCTGGGCAAGCTAAGAAATTATCAATAACCATTTGGTTACCTCACCCAAGTGCTTAATCTTCACATAATAGACCCAGTGCCTGGCAATAAGCTGCTCAACCGAGAGACAAGCCAGATCCTGTCCTCAATCACCATCCACGCACATGGGCATTGCAGGAGGAATCATGAGGGAGTGATTAGGAAAAGGAGCCCTGGCTGATTTTTCTCCTTTCAACAACTTGCATTTCTATAGCGCCCTTCACATGGGGCAGCTTCTCAGAGCGCTGAACAGTGGCGGAGGCCAATGACAAGTCGGGGGGAGGTGACCGTAAACATAGTCGAAGAGGAAGGTCTTCAGTCGTGATCTAAAAGAAGGGAAGAGAGGGGCAAGGTGGAGGGATTGAGGGAAAGAGTTCCATAGCTTCGAGGCATAGTAGCTGAAAGCGTGGACAGGGAAAAGCATGAGGCCAGAGTCAGCCGAGCGAAAGCAGCGGGTAGCAGAGTGAGAAAGCAGGTCAGAAGGATAGGGAGGTGCCAGGGCATGAAGGGATTTGTAGACGAGTGAGAGGATCCTGAAATTACCCAGGGATGCCAAGACCAACTATTATAACCTCCACTCCAAGGATACTCTAACTCTGACCTGTTAATTCTGAATAGAATATATATTGAAACTGGGGTCTTCACATGAACTAATGTCTCAAAGTAAGAGCAAAGCAACTACCTAAATTCCCAACATACTGCTGAAGACACACAGGAAGACATGGATGAGATGCCACAATAAGACATTAATCCTGGTATGTGATATAGTGCCAATAAATCTCTTCACGGGTACTTGCTGTCAAGTTGACCCAGCATCAAATAGACAAATTTATGGCGCAGAACATGGTGAGAATAAACAAGTTTGGTCTATTAACACAACAAAGTAGTCATCTGCATGCTAGCCACACCACTAGGGAAAGATGTCAAGTGGAGAGCAGGTGCCTTCACACAAAGACAGAGAGAGATGGGGAAAGAACGAACAGATAAAACAGACATAAAGTCACCCTGAACCACTTATACACAGATCTTCTTGCAGCCTTGGGAGCACAGTGCCTCTCTGTTCTTTGGTTACAGTAGATGGCTTGGATAATAATAAAGTACATAACTCTCTGGTCAAATACATTTCTGGACTTGTAAAGTCATCGCCCGGTGTGAATTCATAATGGGATGACAGATCCTCCCCCTCCCCACATACACGTACAAACACACACACATATGCAGGCACAAACTACGGGCCCCAAATTCCACCTCATCTCAACCTGTAAAACCTGACTGCTGAGAGCAAGCATTTATAGTTTTTTAAGCAAATGTCAACCCAAATTTTTACTGTCAAAATGCCATTCGTACTCAGGGCAAATAATAATAATCCTTGCATTTGATATAGTGCCTTATCACATCGTTGAGATGTCTCAAAGTGCTTCACAGAATATACTGTAAAGTGAATTGACTGCATATTTTGTGGGCGAAATGCAGCAGGCAGAATGTCATTTATAGAATTTAGCTAAAGAGGATCAGCAGAAAGCTGGTTCCAAATCATTTCCTCATTGATATAGCTTTTGTTTTGAAATGAATAAGTGCTTTTAGGTTACAAATGCAACCTCTCGAAAATAAGAGTCTCCACCCTGGAGTAAGTCAATGTGCAGTCAAGTCTGAAATCCCATCAAAATCCCACTCTGTATTACATAATCTGAGCATTTGGCTCTCAAAGAAATAGAGACAATTCGTGCAAGAACAGTTACAACTGACAAGCTGCCATAGACTTTTTAAAGGAATGTGCTCCGTGCACAATATACACACCCATTTTTACTCAACACCGACCTGCCTTGCACCCTACAATATAATATGTAGGATTTGCAAAACACCACCTGTTGTGTCTCACCTGTCTGAACAGGATTAAAGGATGCTCAATGAAAGAAGTGGATGGAACCATCAGCAGATTCACAAGATAGCCTTAATAATCAGCGTCTCTATGACTTGCAAAAGCTGCAAGGCAACGACAAGAACCTTAGAGCTGCTATAGGAGAAATAGCTTGATTACCCTCATTCACATAGGAAAAAGTACTTTCAAATAATGAAAGGATATAATATATATACACACACAAAATATAGTCAGTTCACTTTACAGTATTTTCTGTGAAGCGCTTTGAGATGTCTCAAAAACGTGAAAAGATCCTATATCAAATGCAAGGATTATTATTATTAGAATAATGATAATAACAATAATCCTTGTTTTTGATATAAAGCACCTTAAATCGTTGAGATGTCTCAAAGCACTTCACAGAATATATTGTGGAATGGATTGACTGTGCATTTTGTGGGAGAAACACGGCAGCCAATTGTGTACAGCAGTGTCCCACAAACATTAGTGAATTGAGTGACGACATTTTCTGGATAGCCATTCATAAAACGTTAGAAATTTGTATGGACAAAAGTTTGCCTTTTATTTGCTGCAAGACTAAGAAAGGTCACCCCATGTATTAGATTGCTCTGAAGCACAGCTCCGCTCGGGATCTTAGAAGGGTGCTGCAAGCTGCTTATCGGGCTGACAAAACCAAGACCAACTCGGTCTCTATGTTGGGACGAGACAAATTGCGGAAAGATTCACCCAGAACAGATTAAATGAGAAGACAGCAATATTTCTAGACGAGTCTGAGCGCACACAGAGGCTGGCTTATTGAGGGAGATATCAAGATTCTGATCTCATGTGGCCCTACGTCATTGCTGCCTTCTGAGCCCACAACTCAAATCCAATATTACAGGAGGTCAGCTGCTGACTTATATAAAAAATCTAATAAAAGCAATCTGAATGTCTGAGGAGTTTACGGTCTGTGTGTTGGGAGCAGTGGAGGAGGAGAAAGAGAAAAGTCAATATTCTCCCTCTCTTTCTGCCCAGGTACAATTGCATGGCAGCTGCATGTCCAGTCTTGATGTATGAATCTGGACAGTGAGTTAAATTGAGCTGCATAGAGTGATACGTTACAGAAAATAATCCGAGTCAGTATTTATACTCCACATGAGCTCCGTCCCTCCCATTCTCCTCTCCCACACCCTTCAATTCCCTTCACCCTCATGTACCGATCGGATTTCTGCTTAAATACATTGATATTTTTTGCTTCAACCACAGCAGTGAGGTCCACATACTCACCACCCTCTATGTGAAGAAGTTCCTCCAAAACTCCCCATTAGATCTGCTATAAACTCTCTTATGTTTATGTTCTCTGGCTTTGCATAAGTGGAATTGGCCTATCAGTAATAATAATCCTTACATTTGATATAGCGCTTTTCACGTCTTCTCGACGTCTCAAAACACTTCACAGAATATACTGTAAAGT